TACTGGTTTTTTAACTTGTCCAAGACATTGCTGATATATACCTATGATATAAGTTTTATAAATAAACGGGGAATGTGTCCATGGGACACAGATTATACCCCCGCTTGCATGTAACGTTATAAAGGGACATAACTCAAGAACTGTAAAAGTGACGCTACCCAAATTTGAACTTGATCTGATTTTTGTGGTAATTATTATTGTTTATAAGTTTCATAACATTTAGTTTGGGCAAACTAAAGTTAGAAAACGGAAACGAAAAATTCAGCTATTTTTCCATTTGTAAAGAGGCATAACTCTAGAATGGTAAAAGTGACACCACCAAAATTTAAGCTTGATCTGTGTGTAGTGGTAATAAGCATTGTGTATAAGTTTCATAACATTTGGTTGAGGCAAACTAATCTAAGGGAACAGAAACAAAAAAATTAAGCAATTTTTCCATTTGTAAAGGGGCATTACTCTAGCACGGTAAAAGAGACATCACCCAAATTCAAACTTGATCTGTGTTTTGAGGTATTAAGCATTGTGTATAAGTTTCATAACATTTGGTTGAGGCAAACTAATCTAAGGGAACAGAAACAAAAAAATTAAGCAATTTTTCCATTTGTAAAGGGGCATTACTCTAGCACGGTAAAAGAGACATCACCCAAATTCAAACTTGATCTGTGTTTTGAGGTATTAAGCATTGTGTATAAGTTTCATAACATTTGGTTGAGGCAAACTAAAGTTAGAGAACGGAAACCAATTTTGGGACGTACAGACGGACAAGGGTAAAACTTAATGCCCCTCCGCGACGGTGGGGGCATAAAAATCTGGCAAGAGTTGTACGCGTGAGAGCGCTTACAAGACCAGACGGACGGACAGATGGACGCACGCCTGGTATTTCCTTGTTCCCTGCAAGGCGTTACACAGGGGACAAAAAAAAAAACACCACTAAAACTTTTTTGCAAGCTACAAATATACAAATGCATTACAAAGCTACAAAAACATGCTGAAATGTTATTTTTCATTGAACGTTCTGAATTTTCCCGATTGTTTTCATCATTGTCCTTTGGTCTCTGGTGGATAATTGTCTTAATGGCAATTATACAACACATCTTGATTTTGATAATAATACAATAATTATCGAAAAGTGCATCATTTGTTAAAAAAAATCGTAAGGGTTCCGCGGAACCCATTGTCTCGCCTACTTTTGGTGTTAGTCGCAGGCTGAACAACAAGAGGCTCTCAAGAGCCTGAATCGCTCACCTGTTAAAATTTTGGTTAAATCTTTCATCAATGATTATTTTTGCTTTTCAATATATATTAATGAGTGGCTTAAAAATGCCACTTAAATGTTCATTGTATCTGTCATATTTTCTTCAAAAGCAATAAAAATGCATTTTACCTATATGTTCCATTTTAGCCATAGTTTGTATGTTTCTTGACGTACAAGGAAATAAAATACAAAATCTATACTAGATTCATTTCTTTTTTTAAAGTTAAAAAACATAAAGAACTTGTGTAAAACTGTCCTTAAAGGGCAATAACTTCTTAATGGGTCAATTGACAATTTTGGTCACATAAAACTTTTTTGTAGATCTTACTTTGTTGGACATTTTTGCTGTTTACAGTTTATCTTTATCTTCAATAATATTCAAGATAACAACCAAAAACTGCAAAATATCCTTAAAATAACCAATTGAGTGGCAGCAACCTTACAATGGGTTGTTCGGTTTGTCTGAAAATTTCGGAGCTGATAGATCTTGACCTTTTAAACATTTTTACCCCATGTCAGATTTGCTCTAAATGCTTTAGTTTCTGAGATATAAGCCAAAAACTGCATTCGACCCCTATGTTCTATTTTTAGCCATAGCGGCCATGTTTGTTGATTGATAAAAAATTCGGATATGATTCATAAACTAAATTCCTAAAGGAACATTCATTTAAAGTTAAGAAGTATAAGCACAATAGTTTCAGAGGAGAAGATTTTTAAATGTTAGCAAACATGATGAACAAATTGTGTAAAATTGTCTTTAAAGCTTTAAGGGTAATAACTCCTTAAGAGGTCAATTGACAATTTTGGTCATTTAACTTTTTTGTAGATCTTACTTTGCTGAACATTATTGATGTTTACAGTTTATATCTATCTATAATAATATTCAAGATAATAACTACAAACTGCAAAATTTCCTTAAAACTACCAATTTAGTGGCAGCAACCCAACAATGGGTTGTTCGATTCGTCTGAAAATTTCAGGGCTGATAGATCTTGACCAATTGAACAATTTTACCCCATGTCAGATTTGCTCTAAAAGCTTTAGTTTTGGAGATATAAGCCAAAAACTGCATTTGACCCCTATGTTCTATTTTTAGCCATGGCGGCCATGTTTGTTAATGGATCAAAACTTCGGATACAATTTAAAAACTAGATACCCTAAGGAATATTTAGTTAAAGTTTAAAGGTATTTGGCCAAGTAGTTTCAGAGGAGAAGATTTTTAAATGTTAGCAAACTTGATGAACAAATTGTGTAAAATTGTCTTTAAAGGGCATTAACTCCTTAAGAGGTCAATTGACAATTTTGGTCAGATTGATTTTTTTGTAGGTCTTACTTTGCTGAACATTATTGCTGTTTACAGTTTATATCTATCTATAACAATATTCAAGATAATAACAAAAAACTGCAAAATTCCCTTAAAACTACCAATTTAGTGGCAGCAACCCAACAATGGATTGTTCGATTTGTCTGAAAATTTCAGGGCTGATATATCTTGACCAATTGAACAATTTATACCATGTCAGATTTGCTCTAAAAGCTTTAGTTTTTGAGATATAAGCCAAAAACTGCATTTGACCCCTATGTTCTATTTTTAGCTATGGCGGCCATGTTTGTCGAGGGATCAAAACTTCGTATACAATTTATAAACTACATACCCTAAGGAACATTTATTAAAAGTTTGAAGGTATTTGGCCCAGTAGTTTCAGAGGAGAAGATTTTTGAAATATATTAACGACGACAGACGATGACGACGGACGCCAAGTGATGGCATAAGAAATAACTTCTCAATGTCATATCCAAAATTTATAAAAAAAACTTAATGGAGGTTATTTTTACAGATATAAATTAGTCACCAAAGTTTAATGAAAATTACTCAAAGCACTTTAAGGATATTGTCCGAAAACTGGAAAATCCCCCTTTTTTTAATGAATAAAACCCCATAACTAAAGTAAATGTAAAATCTAAAATTTATAAAAATCGAATGGGAGCTTTTGTCAATATATATAAACAATTCACCAAAGTTTCTTGCAAATTGGTGAACGTGTTTTTGAGTTATTGTCCGAAAACTGGAAAATCCCCCTTTTTGTAATGAATAAAACCCCAAAACTCAGAAACGTCAAATATAAAATTTATAAAAAACGAAAGGGAGCTCACGTCAATAGATATAAACAATTCACCACAGTTTCATGCAAATTGGTTAATTTAAAAGCGTTTTTGAGTTAATATCCGACATGTTGACGACGGACGGACAACGGTATACCATAATACGTCCCGTTAATGGACGTATAAAAACTAAGTCCATTTATAAGTGATATACAGGAAAACAGGAAATAAATTTTTACAAAATTTCCTTCTAGATACTAGCTTTTCATCATAAACAAGCTTCGTATAAGAAAGTTATTAAAATTTTTAAAACTTTAACCACAGAGTGAATGTAATGTTAACTGGCAGAAAATCTAAGTGCATTTAAAAGCAAAACACGGATAACAGGATTTTTTTTTTACAAAATTCTTATTTCTGGATACCATCTTATGATCTTAAACATGCTTCTGTCCAAGTTTGGTAGAAATCCAGAATATTTTAAGAAAGTTATTAAACTTTTAAAAACTTTAACCACAGAGTGAATGTAGTGTTAACTGGCAGAAAAACTAAGCCCATTTATAAGTAAAATATGGATAAACAAGATTTTTATTTTTTACAAAATTTTCTTCTGGATACTATCTTATGAACATAAACATGCAAGCTTCTGTCCAAGTTTGGTACAAATCCAACTTATTTAAATTTCAAGGACATACAAAAACTTTAACCACAGGGTGAATATTTGTGGAAGCCGCCTCCGCTGACGGAATGTAGAATCGCTTTGTATCGCTTTTCCGACAAAAGTCGCAGGCTCGACGATAAATGGGGAATGTGTCCATGGGACACAGATGATGCCCCCGTTTGCATATCATATGAAGTTATAAAGGGACATAACTGAAGAACGGTAAAAGTGACACTACCCAAATTTGTTATTCATCTGAGTTTTGTAGTAATAAGTCTTGTGTACAAGTTTTTTAACATTTGGTTTAGGCAAACTAAAATTAAAGAAAGAAAACAAAAAAAAATCTGCAATTTTTTCATTTGTAAAGGGGCATAACTCTAGAACGGTTGACGTGATGCCACCAAAATTCAAACTTGATCTGAGTTTTGTGGTAATAAGCATTGTGTATAAGTTTCATAACATTTGGTTGAGGCAAACTAACGTTAGAAGACGGAAACTAACTTTGGGACGTACTGACGGACAAGGGTAAAACTTAATGCCCCCTCCCCTACGGAGGAAATAAAAAAACATTTCAACTACACTTGTTATATTCAGGAAATAATGGGTGCAAATAATTAATTGCCAGTCCAGGTTATGGATTATTCTCACCTTTTGAAATATAAAATTTCATACAAAAAAGGTTTACGCCAATGACATTTGTTGCGAGACAAAAAGAACCTATGCATGTTTTGGTAAATTCAATTAGAAATATCAAAACTGACCAAAAATCACTTACACCAAATTGCAAGTCTAACTGTCTAATGAGCTATTAGACCGAATTTTATATCAAAATCCAAAACTAAGCAACATGGTTTTATTACATAGAATGTTTTTAACAATGCGTAACAAAAGTATTTTGAGAGTTATTTTACATTTAGTAATGTTTATGGTCAATAAGTTAAATGTGCTGTGAAATCATAATGCTGTTTAGTATACATGGTATACACATCACATGTTTTATCTATTTAGTCTCTTTAATAAACAAACAACATTGGTATGATTTTTTTCTTCTAGCTTGCAATTATATCTAATGATGGCAGGTCTTTTTGTTTAATTATATAATAAGCAGTTTTATTGATTTATCATGTCACCCAAACTTCTAATGTATATTATTTGTGTTTTTGTAATAAATGTACAATATTGGTATGATTTTCTCTCCTTGCAATATCTAGTGGTGTGAGTCCTCTCCATTTAATGTTACAATCTGCTTCATGTTTTAACAACAATTCAACAATCTCTATATGACCTATATAACAAGCTATAAATATAGGGGATTCTCCTGTTCTCATACACTTATTAATGTCAGCCTTATTGTTTATTAACATCTGTACTACTTCAGTATGTCCTTTCTGACAAGCAATGAACAGAGGTGATACTCCATCATTATCTCTACACTTATTAATGTCAGCCTTATTGTTTATTAACATCTGTACTACTTCAGTATGTCCATTCTGACAAGCAATGAACAGAGGTGATGCTCCTATATCTCTACACTTATTAATGTCAGCCTTATTGTTTATTAACATCTGTACTACTTCAGTATGTCCATTCTGACAAGCTATGTACAGAGGTGATGATCCCATATCTCTACACTTATTAATGTCAGTCTTATTGTTTATTAACATCTGTACTACTTCAGTATGTCCTTCCTGACAAGCAATAAACAGAGGTGATCCTTCTTCATTATCACACTTATCAATGTCAGCCTTATTGTTTATTAACATCTGTACTACTTCAGTATGTCCTTTCTGACAAGCAATAAACAGAGGTGATACTTCTTCATTATCACACTTATTAATGTCAGCCTTATTGTTTATTAACATCTGTACTACTTCAGTATGTCCTTTCTCACAAGCAATGTACAGAGGTGATGCTCCCATATCTCTACATTTATTAATGTCAGCCTTATTGTTTATTAACATCTGTACTACTTCAGTATGTCCTTTCTCACAAGCAATGTACAGAGGTGATGCTCCCATATCTCTACACTTATTAATGTCGGCCTTATTGTTTATTAACATCTGTACTACTTCAGTATGTCTATTCTGACAAGCAATGAACAGAGGTGATGATCCAGTATCTTTACACTTATTAATGTCAGCCTTATTGTTTATTAACATCTGTACTACTTCAGTATGTCCTTTCTGACAAGCAATGTACAGAGGTGATGCTCCCATATCTCTACACTTATTAATGTCAGCCTTATTGTTTATTAACATCTGTACTACTTCAGTATGTCCTTTCTGACAAGCAATGAACAGAGGTGATGATCCAGTATCTCTACACTTATTAATGTCAGCCTTATTGTTTATTAACATCTGTACTACTTCAGTATGTCCTTTCTCACAAGCAATGTACAGAGGTGATACTCCCATATCTCTACACTTATTAATGTCAGCCTTATTGTTTATTAACATCTGTACTACTTCAGTATGTCCTTTCTGACAAGCAATGTACAGAGGTGATGCTCCCATATCTCTACACTTATTAATGTCAGCCTTATTGTTTATTAACATCTGTACTACTTCAGTATGTCCTTTCTGACAAGCAATGAACAGAGGTGATGATCCAGTATCTCTACACTTATTAATGTCAGCCTTATTGTTTATTAACATCTGTACTACTTCAGTATGTCCATTCTCACAAGCAATGTACAGAGGTGATCCTTCTTCATTATCACACTTATTAATGTCAGCCTTATTGTTTATTAACATCTGTACTACTTCAGTATGTCCTTTCTCACAAGCAATGTACAGAGGTGATGCTCCCATATCTCTACACTTATTAATGTCGGCCTTATTGTTTATTAACATCTGTACTACTTCAGTATGTCTATTCTGACAAGCAATGAACAGAGGTGATGATCCAGTATCTTTACACTTATTAATGTCAGCCTTATTGTTTATTAACATCTGTACTACTTCAGTATGTCCTTTCTGACAAGCAATGTACAGAGGTGATGCTCCCATATCTCTACACTTATTAATGTCAGCCTTATTGTTTATTAACATCTGTACTACTTCAGTATGTCCTTTCTGACAAGCAATGAACAGAGGTGATGATCCAGTATCTCTACACTTATTAATGTCAGCCTTATTGTTTATTAACATCTGTACTACTTCAGTATGTCCTTTCTCACAAGCAATGTACAGAGGTGATACTCCCATATCTCTACACTTATTAATGTCAGCCTTATTGTTTATTAACATCTGTACTACTTCAGTATGTCCTTTCTGACAAGCAATGTACAGAGGTGATGCTCCCATATCTCTACACTTATTAATGTCAGCCTTATTGTTTATTAACATCTGTACTACTTCAGTATGTCCTTTCTGACAAGCAATGAACAGAGGTGATGATCCAGTATCTCTACACTTATTAATGTCAGCCTTATTGTTTATTAACATCTGTACTACTTCAGTATGTCCATTCTCACAAGCAATGTACAGAGGTGATCCTTCTTCATTATCACACTTATTAATGTCAGCCTTATTGTTTATTAACATCTGTACTACTTCAGTATGTCCTTTCTCACAAGCAATGTACAGAGGTGATGCTCCCATATCTCTACACTTATTAATGTCAGCCTTATTGTTTATTAACATCTGTACTACTTCAGTATGTCTATTCTGACAAGCTATGTACAGAGGTGATGCTCCCATATCTCTACACTTATTAATGTCAGCCTTATTGTTTATTAACATCTGTACTACTTCAGTATGTCCTTTCTGACAAGCAATAAACAGAGGTGATACTTCTTCATTATCACACTTATTAATGTCAGCCTTATTGTTTATTAACATCTGTACTACTTCAGTATGTCCTTTCTCACAAGCAATGTACAGAGGTGATGCTCCCATATCTCTACATTTATTAATGTCAGCCTTATTGTTTATTAACATCTGTACTACTTCAGTATGTCCTTTCTCACAAGCAATGTACAGAGGTGATGCTCCCATATCTCTACACTTATTAATGTCAGCCTTATTGTTTGTTAACATTTGTACTACGTCAGTATGTCCTTTCTGACAAGCAAAGAACAGAGGTGATACTCCAGTATCTCTACAATGGTTTACATTACTAATACAATTATATAAGCACCATTTAACCATATCAATATCGCCTATATAACAACAGTGTATTAATGGAGTGTCTTTGTTTTGTGTGTTATAAAGTCTAGCTAATTGGTTCTGTTTTGATATTTCTAAACCTTTTACATGTACAAGGAATCTTTGTCTGAAGATTTGATCACCCATGTTGATGTTACAGAAGACATCTACTACCTTTCCTCTAAACCAGTCATCTATCATTCTATTTATATACATTTGCTGATATCTTTCTGATACATCTATTAAAAACGCCTTTCTGTTGCCTTTTTTTTCAAAAACAAACCTTTCACGAATAAACTGACTTGAAGCATTATTAATTAAACAATGGATCATAACACTACCAAAGTAAAAAGCAAGAAAGTCAAACAGCTTGTCATGAATTGTTCTGTACACTTCACCATCCTTTCTGATAAACGTATGAGTTAGTGAATCCAGCTCATCAGGAAGTACCAATCGAGATGTTCCTTTCACCACTTTACAAGCTTCATATGTGTTCTTTATAATTGTTTTGATATCTTTATTGACATCTTCAGTAAACCATTCCATTTTTAAACGATTGTTAAACATTACACATAGAGCAAGTGCACAGTATTTGACATGTGCTCCCTCTGTTTGTAATTTATCTATCTCTTCTTTGTAAACTGTAAATGGATTCTTGAAGAAATCTACCATTTTCAGACTTGTGTTTTTGCTGTATAATTGACATAAAAGAGGAAAACAGTCAAACATATCATAAAATTCCTTGATCTGAGAGGCTTTTGTTTTCAAGTAAAGTTCAGCAATAAATTGTTTTTCTGTTTTGGATAAACGTAAATCTTCAGACAAAAGATTACATTCAAATGATTGATAAAATGATAAAGATTTCATTTTTTCATCCCTAAAAACCTGAAGTCTACAAGACATGATTAATTTGACTGGTTTCTTTTCTATTAATGTTTTGATTTTTTCCATCAGATTTTTCCAACTTTCCAACTTCATAGGATTTATGACATATGTTCCACAAAAGTCATCCATTACAAACAGGGTTTTCTTACTTGGATTGTACCACTTGATGATTTCTTCAGGGATTGTTACCGGTAAAATATCATAGCCTCCTTCTTGCATTCGTAGAGCAACATGACGCACCAATGATGATTTTCCTATTCCTGAACTTCCAGTGACAACAACACAACCATTTTCTTTAATACATTTTAATACACTCTTTGCTCCATTTGTTTCTATAAACATTTTGTCATCTTTTGTCCAAGTTTCCAATTCCTCTTTAATTTGACCTAAAAAGAAAGGATTTGATATTTCTTTAAAATTTGCATTTATTTTGAGACTGCTACTGTGACCTTGCATACTGATATGCAATCTTACCTTATATGTACTTGTATCATATAACATTTATAAAACTTTTGGTCTTGAGCTTACCTGATCAATGTTATTCATCAATAAGCGATATGATATGATTTTGATCAAGACAATATTTGTTTATAGAAAACACTCCATTCAGAATGCTCGAGACCTAAAATTTGGAAAACGCAAATTTATAAGTGCTAAAAACATGAAAAAAAAGAATCAAAAGAGCTAATTTTCATTATTGTGTACAGTTTCGTTCTGTGTTGTTTTGTTGCACCACTGATTCAGGCATAGAGGAAAGTTGGAAACACACCAAGATGTTTAACCCTGCTAAATTCTGTATGTTCCTGTCCCAGGTCAGGAGCCTATAATTCAGTGGTTGTCCTTTTTTACTCATTGGAGGTGTTTTACATTTTGTATTGGTTTTGCTCATTGTCCAAAAAAAAAGAGGTGAAAAATAACAAAGGGACATTCAAATTCATAAGTCGAAAATAAACTGACTACCCGTTGATAAAAAAAAAGAAAAAAAGACAGACAACAAGATATTACACAAAACAACATAGACAATTTTAGAATGAGCAACACAAACCCCAATAAAAACTGGTTTAATAGCTTCCTTGTGAGCAGCAACCCTTTATCAAGGAAATCATGATAGGCAATACAAGCCCTGAGATATATACTCCCTATGCAGGTGCTGCTGGAATGAAGGCTGTACAGGACCTATAGTTGCTTACATCTAATTCAGTGTGGTCTCTGGCGGACAGTTGTCTCATTGGCAATCATACTACATCTCCTTATTTTATACAACTCCTGTACAAATGGTCAAATCCAATTGACAGTACAAGTTTGAGCTTTCTAAAAAACTGTGGACTGCTTCACTCAATCCTAATTTAAGGTAATATGTGTGCATGTGGTTGTTGATTTAGCATTGGAAATGTGGTATTTTTAGATATTGATTTTGTGCGTTATACACCCATGCTTTTAAAAAAATTTTCACTTTACTTGTTGAAAATTAAAACATTTACAAATCATGCAAATAGACACGACTCTGGAGGTGTGCCTAGATTGGCAGAAGTTATAAAACACAGATAATAAAATTGAGAATGGAAATGGGGAATGTGTCAAAGAGACAACAACCCGACCATAGAGCAGACAACAACCCGACAATAGAGCAGACAAATGCATTTTTGTAAACATTGTATAGGAACATTGTTTAGCAAAACAAATCATGCATATTGCAGATTAACAAAGCATTTAAACACGTATTAATAATTGATATTTCAATATTGAATTTCAGTGTGCAATATATGCATAATAAAACGAACATGAATTAATGACAGTTGATCGGAACTGAAATACATATAGTTAATTTTCTGGCAATTGATGTCTTATCCTGAGACGAGAAAAGTCTGTAATTCTTTATCTCATTAAAGCCAATAGCTGTTGCTGTATCTCAGCGGCATCATAAAGCAACCAATCAGAATCTATATGTGATAAGTAATTATTTCAAGATGGCGTGTATGTCAATTGAAACTAATAGCTCCCCACCGTGATGCAAAGCAATAATATGGTCAACTACACGTTCATGATGTCCAGCAATCCTATCAAGTATGAGAGCTTTCTGTCAAATATTTTCAGAGAAGTTGCTTTCACAAAGTGACACCATTATCATGATTATATTATATTCCAAATAAATGTGGATTCTGTCCACATGTTGACACAGATGATGCCCCTGCTTGCATATCATATAGTTATAAAGGGACATAACTGAAGAACGGTGAAAATGACACTACCCAAATTTGAACTTGCTCTGAGTTTTGTGGTAATAAGCATTGTACATGTGTGTAAGTCTCATAACATTTGGTTGAGGCTAACTTAAGTAGAAAACAGAAACGAAAAATTCAGTAATATTTCTATTTGTAAACACGCATAAATCTAGAACGGTTGTGTATAAGTTTTATAACATATAAAACTTGAGACAAACTAAAGTTAAAGAACGGAAACGAAAAATTCAGCAATTTTTATGTTTATAAAGGGACATAACTCAAGAATGATAAAAGTGACGCCACTAAATTTCGTATTTAATCTGTATTATGTAGTAATAAGCATTGTGTATAAGTTTCATAACATTTGGTTGAGGCAAACTAAAGTTAGAGAACGGAAACAATATTTGTACTTGATCTTAGTTTTGTGGTAATGAGTATTGTGAAACATCTAGTTTTAGATATGTTCCCTATGGTCATGTCCTTACAGGAGACCTCAACATCGTCGAAGACCGTGAGGTCATAACTTTTCTTAAGAAAGGACCAAAATATCGTCCTCCATCTAAAATAGATTGGAAACAGTGTCGTCAGATCATTAAAGACGCTCTGTCTGGCTACTGTAAAAATTGGTGTAAACGTGAAAAATCTGATAAAAAATCTATAGACAGTTATTTGAATAAAATTATGAATACTGTTAATATTCGTATATCTCATTTTGAAAACAATTCTGAAATTAGTAATAGGGTCCATGATATTCCCATTTCCAGAATAAAAAAAAAAAAAAAAAAAAAAACTCCAAGTACTCGCAAAGCAAATAATGTAGTGGTGGTGTGACGCATATACTACACGGAAGTTCTCCAAAACGAAATTACAAATTCATCTACATTCAGGTCCGTACGCTCCACAGAGAGTCAAATTGTAAACAAGCATATCATTGCCACTACCCAGCTTAAGGCCTCTTCCGAACATTTGAAAGTCCCTACTATGTACTGGTTACCTAAATTGCACAAAAAACCATTTAAATTCCGTTTCATCTCCGCATCTAGTAAGTGTTCTACTACTAATCTATCAGTGCTTCTAACTACCTCCCTTACTACTATCAAAGAACTTGTTATTAACTTTTGTAATAAAGCTTATGAAAATAATGGTATTAATTATTTTTGGAGTGTTAAAAATTCTTTAGAGGTTTTAGATAAAATACATGCTTTTGATGGTCCTTTTAATTCTGTTGACAGTTATGATTTTTCTATTCTCTATACTACACTTCCACACAATCTTATCAAGAAAAAGTTTTCATATTTAATTAAATGGTCTTTTGAAAAATCTCATTACAAATTTATTTGCTGTAACTCGTTTAAAGCCTTTTTCTGTAACGAAAAAGGAAAGTATGCTAGATACACTTACTGGAAATGTGAAGATATGATTGAAGCTTTAAATTTTCTCCTGGACAACATATATGTACGTTTCGGCGATAGAATGTATCGACAGGTAGTAGGTATTCCTATGGGCACTAACTGCGCCCCTTTAATAGCAGATTTATTCCTGTATTGCTATGAATCTCAGTTTATGACCAAACTCAGTAAAGACACGTCATTGTTACATTTGGTTGATACATTCAAGAGAGAACCAATAGAACAGTCAAGAGAGACCCAATAGAACTTACTTTAACTAAATCTAACATAAACAGCAGTAGTTGTCCTTTTCTGGATTTGGACATTTCAATCTCTAAAGGAAAACTCCATACGAAAATTTACGACAAAAGAGACGATTTTTCATTCCCTATTGTTAATTTTCCTTTTTTAGACGGCGATGTTCCTTTGGCTCCATCATACGGTGTATATATATCCCAACTCGTTCGTTATGCCCGTGTGTGTAGTGATGTCATAGATTTTAATGAACGTAATCAATGCATCACTGGTAAATTATTAAATCAATGATTTCGTTACCATAAATTATGTAAAACTTTTGCTAAGTTCTTTCATAGATACAAAGATTTGATTAGTAAATTTGGCTGTACTTGTAGAAAACTGATTAAAAACGGTATTTCACATCCTAAATTTTAAGGTAATATTGTACTTAAAGCGTGGAAATCACTATGTGATCCATGTAAACTCATCGAACCTTTAAACAGGCTCATTAGTAAAGGTTATCTTACCAATGTTGTAATTAGATCTTTGAATATAGTTTACATTGGCACTAATATCGATTTTGTCATCAGCAAATTAAAACATAACTAAATTTGTATTTTTTTCAAGTGGGATGTATAAAGACACACCCACGTTCGTTGAGATCTATAAAGAGGTTAAACTCCTAACTATCCTACTGTCTCGATACATTTATTTTTGGCATTGCACTAGTCATGTCTTCTTTGACTGTCCATGACGTTAAAATACTAAATCCCTGGGATGTGTTTTAGTTGATTTTAGTCTCTGATGCATGATTTTTTATTATTAATTGTTTTGGCTTTTAACTAGCTGTCAGTAACTGCGAGTACTCTCAAATCGTACTTTTTTGTTTATTTGACCTGTTGATACTAATTGTATTGCTTTTTTGTTATTTAATGTTATTCAGGGTTATATCTGGTCTATATACCAGCTTTGATAAGTGTTTGGTATAACTATAAATATTTACTTCGTACTATGAACATCAAAATTATTTATTTTGTAAAAGTATTTCCTTTCTCTATTGTTACTGTACACGTATGCCTAACAACAAAATTATTTTCATTTACCTGTGTTTAAAGTTATTGCAAATGGATGGTATTTTTGTTCGAGCATATTGTTTTTCTTTTATTGTTTAACATTTCTTACCTATATAACATGTTACTTTTATTATTCTTCCCTTAGTTTATTTATTTTGTATTCTAAATTATTTATTTTGTAAAAATATTTCCTTTCTCTATTGGTACTGTACACGTATACCAAACAACAAAATTATTTTCATTTACCTGTGTTTAAAGTTATTGCAAATGGATGGTATTTTTGTTCGAGCATATTGTTTTTCTTCAATTGTTTAACATTTCTTACCGATATAATATGTTACTTTTATTATTCTTCCCTTAGTTTATTTATTTTGTATTTACATTGTGTCATAGGTCAAATTTATTTGTTCAGTGTATGTTCAATGGTGTTAATATGTCCTTTGATTGAGTTAAGCTATTTCAGTTGATATTTTATAGTGTGTCTTTCTATGTTGTGATGTTACACTATTGTTTCAGGAAAAGGGTGAAGGTTTGGTACCATTAAAACGTTTAAACCCGCTGCATTTGTTTGCACCTGTCCTAAGTCAGGAATCTGATGTTCAGTAGTTGTCGTTTGTTGATGTGGTTCATAAGTGTTTCTCGTTTTTTATATAGATTAGACCATTGGTTTTCCCGTTTGAATGGTTTTACACTAGTAATTTTTTGGGGCCCTTTATAGCTTACTGTTCGGTGTTCGGCGTTGAAGACCGTACTGTGACCTATAATGGTTTACTTTTATAAATTTTGACTTGGATGGAGAGTTGTCTCATTGGCACTCATACCACATCTTCTTATATCTATTGTGTATAGGTTTCATAATGTTTGATTGGGGTATACTTAAGTTACAGAATGGAAACTAAAAATTTTGCAATTTTTCGATTTATAAAGGGGCATAACTCAATAATGGTTAAAGTGACACTACCCAAATTCAACTTGATCTGTGTTTTATCAGTGGAAGGCAAAATTAAACAATGCATTGTATAAAGCATTGATTGTAGTTGATTTAACTATAATCATGGACAAAGGAAGATAACTCCAATTTTAATAAAATGCTCCGCTGGGCTCAGCTTGATACGACCGCAGAGGTCGAACCCTGAACAGTTGGGGCAAGTATGGACACAACATTCAAGCTTGATACAGCACTGAATTTGGATTGTGATTAAATATTTGATACAGCAAAGGTTTCTGACACAGAATGAACGTGGTCTAAGAACTTAATTTTTTTTAATTTACCTATTTAAACCATATCATTATTATTTGCTTTTATATATAAATCAGAAATAATCAATTCAAAATGGAAAATTTTAAAGAAAAAAAAAAAGAAAAAAAAATCCCCCCAAATTTTTTGAGCCCCCTAATGATTCATCACCTCCAAACTCAATCCCAGCCTTCCCTTTGTGTTATGGTACCTTGCAGTACAATTTCAGAGAGATCCATACACTTGAACACAAGTTATTGTCTGGAAACTAGAAAAATGCTTGTTTTTTGGCCCCTTTTTGGCCCCAAATTTCTAAACATTTAGGGCAATGACCCCCAAACTCAAACCCAGCTTTCCCTTTGTGATATGGAACCTTGTAGTACAATTTCATAAAGATCCATACACTTACACACAAGTTTATAATTGTCCTGAAACTAGAAAAATGCTTGTTTTTTGCCCCTTTTTGGCCCCTAATTCCTAAAATTTTGAAGCAATTACCCCCAAAATCAATCCCAGCCTTCCCATTGTGGTATGGTACCTTGCAGTACAATTTCAGAGAGATCCATACACTTGAACACAAGTTATTGTCGGGAAACTAGAAAAATGCTTATTTTTGGCCCCTTATTCCTAACGTCTCGGGCAATTCCCCCCAAATTCAATTCCAGCTTTCCCTTTGTGATATGCAACCTTGTAGTACAATTTCAGAAAGATCCATAGACTTACAATTAAGTTATTGTCATGAAACTAGAAAAATGCTTGTTTTTTGCCCCTTTTTTGGCCCCTAATTCCTAAACTTTTGAGTCAATTACCCCCAAAATCAATCCAAGCATTCCCTTTGAGATATGGAACCTTGCAGTACAATTTCAGAGAGATCCATACACTTGAACACAAGTTATTGTCTGGAAACTAGAAAAATGCTTATTTTTGGCCCCTTTTTGGCCCCTAATTCTTTAACATTTAGGCAATTACCCCAAACTCAATTCCAGCTTTCCCTTTGTGATATGGAACCTTGTAGTACAATTTCATAAAGATCCATACACTTACACACAAGTTATTGTCCTGAAACTAGAAAAATGCTTGATTTTTGGCCCTTTTTTGGCCCCTAATTCCTAAAATTTTGAGTCAATTACCCCCAAAATCAATCCAAGCATTCCCTTTGAGATATGGAACCTTGCAGTACAATTTTAGAGAGATCCATACACTTGAACACAAGTTATTGTCTTGAAACTAGAAAAATGCTTATTTTTGGCCCCTAATTCTTTAACGTTTTGGGCAATTACCCCCAAACTCAATTCCAGATTTCCCTTTGTGATATGGAACCTTGTAGTACAATTTCAGAAAGATCCATAGACTTACACACAAGTTATTGTCATGAAACTAGAAAAATGCTTGTTTTTTGCCCCTTTTTTGGCCCCTAATTCCTAAAATTTTGAGGTAATTACCCCCAAAATCAATCCCAGCATTCCCTTTGTGATATGGAACCTTGTGGTACAATGTCAGAGAGATCCATACACTAACACACAAGTTATGTCTGGAAGTTACAAAAATGCTTATTTTTGGCCCCTTTTTGGCCCCTTATTCCTTAACTGTTGGTACCATAACCCCCAAAAATCATTCCCAACCTTCCTTTGGTGGTATTGAACCTTATGGTAAAATTTCATAGAGATCCATTCACTTAAACTAAAGTTAGAGTGCGAAAACCATGTGTCTTCGGACGACGACGACGATGCCAACGTCATACCAATATACGACCGCAAATTTTTTTGTGGTCGTATAAAAATTACTCGAATAATGACATTGATATTTTTGGAAAAAAATGAAAAAAAGTTGGGGCAATCTAAAGTTAGAGAATGGAAACGGAAAATTCAGCAATTTTTTAGATTTGTTAAGGGGCATAACTCTAGAATGGTAAAAGTGACGCCACCAAAACTCAAACTTGATCTGTGTTGTGTGATAACAATCATTGTGTATAAGTTTCATAACATTTGGTTTCGGCAAACTTAAGTTAGAGAACGGAAACGTAAAATTCAGAAATTTTCCATTTGTAAAGGGGCAGAAATCTGGAATGGTTAAAGTGTTGCCACCAAAATTCAAACTCGATCTGTTTTTTGTGGTAATAAGCATTGTGTATAAGTTTCATAACTTTGGTTGAGGGGAACTAAAGTTAGAGGACAGAAACCAATTTTGGGATGTACAAACAGACAGACAAGGGTAAAACTTAAAGCCCCCTCTGCTATGGCGGGGGCATAGAAATGAAGGGAGGATACTTTGATAGATATAAAACAGTCACTAAGGTTCATGAAAACTGCTTAAAGCACTTTTGAGTTATTGTCTGAAAACTGGAAATCCCCTTTTTTTGTGAATAAAATCCCATAACTCAATAACATAAAATCCAACATTTATAAAAATCGGAGGTTAGCTAACGTCAATAGATATAAACAATTCACCAAAGTTTCATGCAAATTAGTTAAAGCGTTTTTGAGTTATTGTCTGACATGTTGATGACAGACAGACAGATGGAAGGACAGAGAGACAGACAACGATATACCATAATGCGTTTCGTAAAAATGGGCGCATATAAGAAGAAAAGAAATAGGTTAAAATTTTGGAAGTATATTCCCCTGTTTCACATCCTTAACTATAACTCTACACCTCTGGTCTAAATGAGTATAATATACCTCTGATGTTCCATGGAATTGGGTCTTTTAAAATATCTCTAATTTCTTCCATCTCTTTCTGTGATTGTTTAATTTCTAGCATAATTTCCTGATTGGACTGATCTAAGATTTTCACCTTTAACTCTTGGCACTCTTGATTCATTGGCTGACCACCCAATCTACTTACTGCCTACAAAAATATTGGGAAAAAAAATAATATTCAATCAAATGTAGATAAGCCAGTCAACAGGACCTGACATACTGGTCACTATACCGTCTGGTTTGATTATTCCAAGGTAGCTCATCTTCGCTAGCCAAGGGTTATGATCCAGTCCCTTCCTCTCCACCCTTGGCAGATTAAGCCAACATTTGTGATAACAATATTGCGCCATCTACCGGTAGATAAAAGTGACGCCCATTCAGACTATATCATTCTTGACCAATGGCAGTACTTGAACTCTCTTCAGGGTGGAGGTGTTGATATGGTTGCATCTAGTGTTTACAAACTTCGTAATAGCTGGAACCAAAAATATACGTTGACATTCCAACATTTGCGCAAGAAACATACCCAGGAACTTATATTAGTTGATTAAGAACTTTAAAATAGTACACGTGATCATCTTAAAAGCGCTTTTTGATTGGATGCAGCCAGTAACAACTGCGACCAATGGAAATCATTACCTCGTGGATCCGAAATTCTATCTTAATCCGCCAAGGGTGGAGAGGAGGGGACTGGATCGTAACCCTTGGCTAGCGAAGATGAAGGTAGCTAGTTGCGTAATCTTTTACTATTCAATCACTGTGGCGAAGGAAGTACTTAGTACCCAAGCAATAATTTTCTACTTGAAGGTATGTAATTTCCAGTATGGACACAGACACCAAAAAGATATGAAAGAAGGTTATTTGTTTACCCATTTTCTATTTGCATTTAACATGTTTAAAGAAAAAAAATTCGTAAGGGTCCGCGGAACCCAGTGTCTCACCTACTTTTGCTGTTAATTGCAGGCTCAACAAAAATGAGGAAAAAAATAATAACAATATTCCTTTCGATACAATCTTTTGATTGTAAGAAGCTTCTGTCCAAGTTTGTTAAAAATCCAGGATAGTTTATGAATCTAATAAATGTTTTAAATCTTTAACTGCAGACTGTATGTAATGTTAACTGGAAGAAAAACTAAGTCCATTTATAAGTAAAATATGGATAAACAGGTACAAAATTTTAACAAAATTTTCTTCTAGATACTAGCTTTTGATCATAAACAAGCTTCTGACCAAGTTTGGTACAAATCCAGGATAGTTTAAGAAAGTTATTAAAATTTCAAAAACTTTAACCACAGAGTGAATATTTGTGGACGCTGCCGACGAGGACGGAATGTAGGATCGCTATGTCTCGCTTTTTCGACAAAAGTCGAAGGCTCGACAAAAAGAATGTGTCCATAGTGCACGGATGCCCCACTAGCACTTTCATTTTCTATGTTCAGTGGACCGTGAAATTGGGGTCAAAACTCAAATTAAAACTTAGAAAGATCATTTCATAGGGAACATGTGTACTAAGTTTTAGTTGATTTGACTTCAACTTCATCAAAAACTACCTTGACCAAAAACTTTAACCTGAAGCGGGACAGACGTGCAGAACAACAAACAAACTGATGCATACACCAGAAAACATAATGCCCTTAGGTGGGGCACAAAAAAGAACATATTACTTATCTCCAATGTGAGATGAAACTTTTTCTACAACCATTCTACATTAATGGAGAAATAAGTAAAAATGTGCAGCAAAATGATGATCAGATTGACATATAAACATTGAATTTGAATAAATTTTCACCAAACTGCACTGTGGCACCGTTAAAGTCCACAATTCCTCTAAAGTCCACAACACCGCTAGAGTCCACAACAAATTTCCGCTAATGTCCACAACAAATTTCCGCTAATGTCCACAACGCTGTTAAAGTCCACAAACTTTCCGCTAAAGTCCATAAAATGAACTCCGCTAAAGTCCACAAAAAAACACTGTTAAAAAGCATGGATTTTTGTTCTTGGAAAATATTTCTTATTAGCTTGAAATATATTTATGATAAATGAAAAGATTATAGTATCTTATTTTGATCCCCATAAATTTGATCTTTGTATTGCGATTTTCTATCAATGAAACAGACAACATTTCTGAAAAGTTATCTACATGTAGCTATGGTGCTCTTTTTGTATTCTTTAGTAAACATTTGTACATCCACAAGAAGGGGGACGAAAGATACCAGAGGGACAGTCAAACTCACAGATCGAAAACAAACTGACAACGCCATGGCCAAAAACAAAAAGACAAACAGACAAACAATAGCACAGATGACACAACATAGAAAACCAAAGACCAAGCAACACAAACCCCACCAAAAACTGGGGGTGATCTCAGGTGCTCCGGAAAGGTAAGCAGATCCTGCTCCAACATAGCGTTCTTTTTATGTATATGCTGGATACACTGACATATCTTGGTGCCTATATTTGACATTGAAATTTCCTTTGCAAATATCTATAAAACATAAGAAAGAAATCCATTCAGTGTCTGTTAGGCTCCACAGCAGCCAAAACGGTCCGTAAATCTCAAAAATAGACTTTAAACCTTAATGATCTTGTTTGAAATCAAAATAATGATAAAGAATTCAACACAACAATGCTACATGTATATGTTCCAGACCATATGAGTATTTGGACCGTACGGTCTGGACCGTATGCGTACTTTTTCAAAATACGCATACGGTCGGACTGTACGCGTACGGTCTGCCTAATTTTAGGATGTTAGTCAAGTTTATTAGACACAAATGTACATTACAGATTAACATAGCTGAAATATCTTATTAATTTAAAAAGTTTAATTGTAAATGAAATAAAAACTTAATATTTTAACTATTTAACAAAGTCACGTTAATCTAATCTGTTAAGCTCCTGTATTTAGCATGTAATTTAATTATGCTCACTGAAATTGAAGTTATTGGAGGTAAACATAATGTCGGAAGAAAAGATTTTAGAATATTTAGGAACTTTACTACAAAAACCGTCAAAGACACTGGACAAAAACTATAAAAAAAATCTGTCGAAAATACAATGAGAAAATATACAAATGATATAATAAAAACGTGTCGAAAAGTAATGCAAAGAATGAATAAGGTAGCTTTGTTACTCTAATAATACCAGTTGTTGATAGGATCTTTCCCGATTATTATGTAGGGTTGATGATATATTTCACTTTATTCCTCTAATTGTAATAATATTAATTTGTAAATTCAATAAAAGATATTGATTAATGTTTGTCTAAAATTAACCCATTTGGTCCAAATACATATATGGTCCAGTTTGTCCTAGATCGTATGAGTATACTAGTACTCATATGGTCCGACCGTACGCGTATAGTCGGACCGTAAGAGTATACTTGTACGGTCCGACCATACGCGTACGGTTGGACCATATGAGTTTACTCGTACGGTTTAGTACAAGTTTTTAGAACATTTAGGAACTTTACTACAATAACCGTCAAGCCAGCTTTTTACTTGTGAGAAGACTGATAGAATTAAACTGAGATACTTAATATATAGTTTTGACAGTTTCTCAGATATTATAAGTGATATTAAAGTCATGTATACACCTTGTGTATTGAATGGTTGTAAGGTGTACATGACTGTCTGCCTGGTCTGTATCATATTTCCGTGACCTAATTTAATGGTTCATTAGTCAAAGTTCTTATTTCTTGAGGATGTTTGCTTTAAGCGATAAGTAAACTTAATTTGGTATATCATGGGATGAATTTATACGGCCTCCATGTCTGTCTGAAAAGATTGATCTCACCTTGACATCATGTTCATTGATCATTGAATTGTAAATTTAATGTAATGCTTGTTGTAAAAAACTTTTTTTCACTTTCAAAATAATTCAATTATAAACACTAAAACAGGGAAGACATTTTAGTGTGTCCAGTCTTGTTATAATAATTATGTATACAATGTACAATGATGTAGGTTCTTAAATACGTTAATCCGATAGCAATAACTAATACAAAATATTTGATAGAGAGTGGTCTCATTGGCACTCATACCACATATTCTTATTAACACAGGTACATGGGGTCATGATTATGTATCCTGTCCTCCCCCTTTTTTACGAGGCAATATTTTGCCAAAGTTCTGATTTCAGGCCATATACATAAATAATGTTTACCTATCTATTCCTGGTCATCTATACTGATATTTTTACTTAATTGTGCTGTTTTACTATCCAGCTATTTTATATCGGTAAACTATATAAAAGTTGAAAAAATAGCTGGAGGGGAGTGCAGGATACATCATTATGACCCCATGTCCATGTGCTTATGTTTAGTAACAATTTAATTAAATCTAGCAAAAATGATTCATATTTCGAATTTCTTGTATGTGCTCATGTTTTTAAACAGCAACATAAAAAAAAACATTTATTAATAACATGTCCAGATATGTTTGCTATGTACATTAGTTACGTCAAAAAGTGATTATATACAAAGAATAAGAAGAAAAAAAAAACAGTACTTGAAGAATGCAGTAATTATGTAATAACTAACGAATTTACTATGACTAGATAACTTTTTAGAAATGATGTCCAAATTGGCCTGTTTGATTCACTGATCGGATCATCATAATACAAAGATCAAATTAATGGAACAAAATGTTCTACAGATACTGTACTTTTTTCATTTATCAAACTGATAAATAAATAACTACCAAGTTGTACTAACGGGATAAAAAAAACAGTGAATTGATTTTTTTAATAATAAAAAAAAAAAAATGTGTGGACTTTAACGGTGTTTTTTGTGGACTTTAGAGGAACTTGTTATTGTGGCCTTAACAGTGTTTTCTTGTGGACTTTAGCAGAGGTCATTTTGTGGACTTGAGCGGAAAGTTTGTTGACTTTAGCGGCGTTATGGACTTTAGCGGAAATTTGTTGTGGACTTTAGTGGTGTTTTGGACTTTAGATGAATTGTGGACTTTAACGGTGCCACACTCCACACATAGCTGCATTGCATAGTATGGATGGACATGTACAGAAGAAACAACACAGAATTTGATATAGATACTACAAGGATAGTAAATGTTTGCAACTCAATATTTGCATTTCTATGCATTGAACAAATATATTAGGATATACCAATATGTTCAGTGTTATTAATATTTATTTTACTTGGCAGGAACCATTGTTGAGAATTATGTATTCTAGCATTATGTTAATCGAAATACTTTGTCCAACAGGCCCTCTAAGGCTCAATTCATAACAATTTCTGTAATAGGTAAACACTTGAAGTCCTGCTGAATTGGAAAAAAATAATTTTAGTTTTGCATTGTGAAAAAATAAACATGAGGCCTAAATCCCTCACCTTTTATATGCACTTACTTATTCTTTTTTTTGCTGGTCATTTTTACAATTTACATGTGTGATGATTAACGTAGGCCATAGTTTTTGATACAGTCAAAACTGCAAAAAACATTTAAAGGGCAATAACTCCAAAAGGTCAAATTTTCAGAGCCGATAGAATTGTCATGCTTATCATTTTTGCAGTTTACACTTTTAAGCTAGTTTCTTTAGTTTTCAAAGTAACAGCGCTAGGTAACAATGTGAATATATATATATATTGAACACCAGAGAATCTGAAGAGCCTGTTCCGCTCACCTATAGGTCTATCTGTATTTTCACTAATGGGACTCTTTCCAACATTGTAGACTAGAATATTCTTCATGACATTTTTTTTTCTCGTGCATTGCTGATTATTTTTTTCTGTTTACAATTCCTCTCTATCGTCTTTAGCTTTTGCCCAAATCACAAAAAAGGTGAAAAAATATGTCGTTTAAGGGCAATAACTCTGATTAAGAGTCTACTAACCAATTTTTGACTTATCTGAAGATATATATTGTCTTGGTGATCATTTTTGCTTTTTAAAGTCTCTGTCTTTTATCATGTTATATTTCAAGATAATCATGATAATAGACAATCAAAGTACTGAAGTACTGAACATCGGATGACCGCAGGTTCTTGTGGATGGTCAAAAGCACATGTCACAGAAACAGATCACATCTCTATACCTGAAACTGAGGTTAATTTACAGAGATTTTTTTTTTATACAAGTTCGTGCTTGGATGATGAATAAATGACAGGAAATTCAACCTCACCGTAATAACTATTATATTGTAGTGATACAAATCAGTATACCTTAGACTATTATACTAATATAATAATAGTTCCAGAGAATACACTGGTTTGTTGTTATATATTATATTAATATTACGGTTGCATGTATATAATTTTTCTCTATATGTATATCATACTATTCTACTATTATTATAGTGTAATGCAAGTGCATGGTGGACACTCTTCTGTAAAAAAAAATCAAAGTCTTAAAGGCTGTAAAAGCAATTGCTGCCATGTTAATGTTTTGTGGACTTTTATTTTTCATCCATATATATAAGAATTAAACCTGACAGGACAGGAGTGTTGACTAGTGAGAAGCAAGACGGTTTTAACTTTATATCAATATAAGACTTTAGCAGGAAATCATTTTAAATATGTTTTATATTTTACAAGGAGACAACAAGTTTACCAGGCTAAAGTTGGGGTTAATTATACATGTGTTGAAACATATAACTGAAAAAAAATCATTATGGATTATCCCCTGGTAGTGTTTGTAACTGGGCAATAATTTCCTTTATTGATTTAATTTTAACCATTTTCATAATTAATTTAAATTAACCATTCAGTTAAAACATTTCAACTTTCCAGACGCAAATGTTGAAAAACGGGACAGAAATAAAATATCTTACAAGACATAAACATGTAAAAAATAAATATATATTTCAGCTTACTAAAAATATTTTCATAATGTTACTTTGACATCATTCCTTAAAACTAAGTCCCAAACATAATTGCTCAGTTGACATGTGTCATCCTCATGCGATACGAGATAACTATAATTCTCATGCAATCCCGAAAAGGGGGGTCATCACAAACAAACATGACATTAAATTGTCATTATACGAACTAGAACACACAGCTCTATGTTGCTTTGATATTTATCAATTTTCAGGAAACATGTGAAATAAATTTCAGGTCCATTTCATTATAGTGCCTAACAAGATTGCGTGAGGTAGACGAAATTGACCTTAAAACGATCGTATTGTCTTTTGATGTCCAAAAATAGGCAGATCGGACATATAAGGACTTTATCTAATGACTACATAAATTTGGGATTTATTATTATTATAATGTTCTAATGAAACTGAAAATTGTATTTTTTTTAGGATAAACAACAATTTTACCTGGCGTAGCCGTTCATAAATGTTTTTCTGCATTTATCTTCGAAAAATGGCGTATTTAATGGAATAGAACGTTAATACAGTAAACTTTCTCTTTTTACTCCGCAATAGGCTATCAAAAATAATTTATCTAATGTGTATGTGGAAAATTATGTGAAAAGATAAAAAGTGGCAATTGTTACCTTTCATACCTTAAGTTTCGTTCATCTAATTCTGACCAATGCTTATATACTAAATATCTATTTATATGCCGCTATTATTGTTGTTGTTACCAATTATGTAAATCAATTGTATCTGATTTTATGCCCTTTATGGGCCCTGTAATTTGGGAAATAAAAAAAAATCTATTCATTGATAAAACGTAATATGGACTGGTCCAGTGTCCAGTTTGCAGGTCATTTAATTTTCTGTACACATTCATGCACGCTCTGATTTAATCAATATACTCGTACGAAAAAGCATGAACAGTTTGAAGGTAATCTAATAATAACTTAATCCAATCAAATTGCATAACATTCAATAACAATGTCAAGTCCACATCATAATGAGTAATAGAGGTAAACTGGGTAGGGAGAAAATGACAGATATTTCAAGTTAATATTTATGCATTAACGAATTAAAATTTGTCAACCAAAAGTTTTGCTACAATTTCAAAAACATGTCGTTCTGTATGGGTATAGTTTTCGGATCTTTCATTAGCGTATTTAAGGCTATAAAAAGTTTGGGCTTCAAAAGTTCACACAATTATTGACTTCATACAGAAAATTCGTCCTTGTAAAATATTTAATAGTTCACAAATGATACGCGATTTTAAAGTAAAATTATTTCTTAAAACAATGCAAAAAATTTCATTCATATTGATAAAGTGGTATCGTCATAAAGTGCGTTGAAATGAACAGTGGTATAGCAAACATCGAATTCCCTCACAAAATGTTATCACACACTACAGTAAGGGGAGTCAGTTAAGTTTGTCTATTTTTAGATACTATACAGGTAATCTTTACAACCTGTGTGACCTGTGTAGTGATTTTGATTTTACGATAAATTCATGAATGAACGATAATTTTATGAATGAACATGAGCACCTGACCTCTTTCTTAAACACCTATTAAACATATAAAACCGTATTTAATAAGGAGATAATTCAGTCAAATTTTCAGTACTAAATCAACAACTGAAATGATTCCATTTTTTGATGAAACATCGTACGAACGGAGAACGGAATCGCAGGTATAAAAATGCACTTTTTTCCCTTGTAATGACCGCGGATCTATAATTTTTATAGATCGGTTGAAATCCCAAAACTAATTTGCATAATGGAAATTTAGGCGATAGCAATACATCGGAGTGACCTCAAGGTCATCCTCTGTAAAAATGCAAAAAAAAATGTAAAAGTAGTCATTCAAGAGCATTAAATTCGGTCATGTTCACTCATTTGTTGATCTTGTCTTGCTGATCATGTTTGCAACTTAGAGTGTCTATCTATTATATATAGTAATCAAGATATAGGCAAAAAACAAACATTTGGTAAAAATTGTCAAATTGTATAAAGAGTAATAACTCCAATAAGGAGTTGACTGACAACTTTGGCCATGTGACACATTTGTAGATCTTGTCTTGCTCATCATTTTTTAAACTTTTTCTTTATCTATAATAGTTTTCAAGATAATAGGCAAAAATGAAAAAAAATGGTAGAATTTGACTTTTATGGAAACAAGTCTTATTTATAAGATGTTGTCTGACAGTTTTGATGTTAATGGACAGTAGGTAGATTTCAACATGTCTGCCACTTGCAAATAATCTCTATTGATAACAGTTTCCAAGATAATAGACAAAACTTGCATATATTTTACCCCTTTGTTCTATTTTTAACCATGTCGGCTATGTTCAAAACTGATTACCCTAATGATATCATTTTGGCCAAGTTTGGTTATATATACCGTATGGTTTTTTCTCATAGTTGAAGGCCGTACAGCATGTACAGTGACATACAATTGCTTTTTTCTTAGTTATTTGAACAGGTGGATAATTGTCTCATTGGCAATCATACCACATTTCCTTATTTAGTTAATACTACTGTTGTCAATTTTTCAATCATTGCTGTCTTTTTTTGGAGATATTAGCCAAAACAGTAGTTTGACCCATATGTCATTTTTTAGCTGCAGTGGTCAGTAACTGCAAATAGTCCTTTGTTAATTTATGTATCATTGTCATTTTGCTTACTTTCTTTTGTTACCTAATTTCTGACATCGGACTCAGACTCCTTTTAAACTGAGTTTTACTGTGCCTATTGCTGTGTGTTTCTACCAATTTTGCGCCTGTCCCAAGTCAGGAGCTTCTGGCCTTTGTTAGTCTTGTATGTTTTTTTAATTCAAGTTCATTTATATGTTTTGGAGTATAGTATGACGTCCATTTTCACTGAAATAATACAGATTTTTATTTAAGGGCCAGCCGAGACCCACCTCCCGTTGCCGGATTTTCTCGCTGCGTTGAAGACCCATGGTGGCCTTCGGCTGTTATCTGCTCTTTGGTCGGGTTGTTGTCTCTTTGACATATTCCCCATTTCCATTCTCAATTTTATGTTAAATCAAGGATTCTGAAAGAAGGCACACATTTACATTTTCACTTGTGGCAGATACCCTGGGCCCCTCATAACCTGTCAGTGCTATGTATAAAATCACTGATACTTATGTAACACTTACATCAGATATATTATTCCATGCTGTATTGAAATCAGCAGTGGCCATTTTGTTACTATCATGATGAGCTAATATATTCCTGTACCATTTAATCCTTGCTAGATCAGCTCCAGGAGTTGTTTCCACTGATGGTGGTAATCTGTCAAAACCATTGATTGGCTGAGTAACAGATGTCAAGTTTCTGATCAAGCAAATCATCAATGTTACATCAAAAGTTGACGAAACAGGTACACCTATAACATCAAAAGTATTATAACTAAGTGAAACTTTAACATCAAAAGAATTAGAATCAGGTACACCTGTAACATCAAAAGTATTAGAATCAGGTACACCTGTAACATCAAAAGTATTGGAATCACCTGTAACATTAAAACTATTAGAATCACATACACCTGTAAAATCAAAAAGTTTATAATAAGGCACACCTGTAATATCAAAAGCTGATGAATAAGGCACACCTGTAATATCAAAATCTGTGAAATCAGATACACCTGCACCCTCAGTTTAGAACCAGATACACCTGTAGCATTAAAGGTATTAGGATCATACACCTATAACATCAAAAGTATTAGAATCATGTACAGTCATGACAGTTGTAACATCAAAACAGACCTGGGGTAATTAAAAATGTAATTGTAATTAGCTATAATTAATTACAATTTTGAAAGTTCAAAAGCATTAGAATCAGGTACACTTGTAACTTCAAAAGTATCAGTCATGTACACCTGTAACATCAACAATTTAAGAATCAGGTACACTTGCAATATCAAAAGTATTAGAATCAGGTACACCTGTAACAACAAAAGAATCAGAATCAGGCGCACCTGTAACAACAAAAGAATCAGAATCAGGTACACCTGTAACATCAACAATTTAAGAATCAGGTACATTTTTTGTAACATCAAAAGTATTATAATCAGGTACACCTGTAACATCAAAAGTATGAGAATCAGATACACCTGTAACATGAAAAGTATTAGAATCAGGTACACCTGTAACATGAAAAGTATGAGAATCAGGTACACCTGTAACATCAACAGTATGACAATCAGGTACATTTGTAACATCAAAAATATTGGAATTAGGTCCATCTGTAACATCAAAAGTATTAGAATCAGGTACACACACTTGTAACATAAAAACTATTAGAGTTTTAATAACAGTCCAGGCAATAATGAATTACTGAAAACTGTAATATTACACAAATCTGTAATATTACTGTTTTCTGTAATTCAAAATTTGTTTTAAGGAAATAGGGGTTACCTCCCATGTGTTACTACAAATGAATTACTCCATGTAAAGATATTGAAAATTATTCCTTACATTTAGAATCTGGCAACATCTAAAACAAATATTGAACACAGTCAGCTGAACATTGCCAGACAGACAAGTAAACACAACAATTATTCTACACACCAAATACACTTGACCTGTTGCTTATAGTATTTGAACTAGCAATCAGAGGATATTGCATATAATGTCACCTACTGGCTATAATGTTAACATTGGATGAACTAACACTTATATATTGGACAAGCATAAAATTCTAACTGATAACCAGGGCTCGACAATAACGCTTGTCCGATTGTCCGGTACCAGAGGGAAAAAGGGTCGGACAAGTAAAAGATATATAAAGCTTGTCCGATGGGACAAATAAAATTATTCTGCAGAAAATAAATTTAATCCAACTTTTATGAACAAAGTAATTATAAACAAAAAACAAGAAAAGAAGATGAAAACAAGACATGGATAATTTAAAACTGGTTCTTTGTCAGGTACTTTTTAACAGGTAAAATGCATACTATTCTCAGAAACCAGTCTTACTGATCCGAGCAGACATTTCGGGACCAAGACAAATCAGTACCTGTTTTTCCTACCTTATTCTGTTGCTTTATAATAAATACCATACCGGTAATTTTTTTAACAAAAACATTTTTTAAATAAAAATGAAAAATTATTTACCATTAAATTCACAAAATCATATTTGATCATATGTAGAAAAAAAACAATACTTGCAATACGGTGACCTATAGTTGTTAATTTCTGTGTCATTTGGTCTCTTGCAGAGAGTTGTCTCATTGGCAATCATACCTCATCTTCTTTTTTTTATTGATTGCATTTGAATAAACTTTTTTCAACTTAAAAAACCAGGATACAAATCCAATGAGTGTACATTGACAGGCCTATCAGACGGTGCCTCATGTGCAGAATCTGATGAGACTTTGGCATTGATGAACTAGAACCTAAGTCCTGTGACATGACTAGATTCAGTTGTATTCGGCTCATATTTTTGAATGGTATTTCAAAAGATATAAATCAAATTCTGTTCTATTGTTTTAATTCATTTTGTTCCTTGAATCAACTTAAAATGCAAAAAAGGTTATTATTAAGATTTTTTTTGGACAAGTTACAATTTCATTCGGACAAGTAAATTTTGGTATGTACTTGTCCTACTGGACAAGTTGAAAAAAAAGTTATTGTAGAGGCCTGATAACAAATTGCTTTTGACACCAAAACAGAACTCAAACTCAAGCTGTCAGTCAGGGGTTATACTTATACAGTTTTTTTTTATTTATTTGTACCTGTGTCTAGGTGAATTATGTTGGAGGTAGAGTTATATCCCTTACTTAGACATGTAAGATATCCAAATGTGTTATACAAGTAAAAAGTCATATTCTCTTCTTCTGTAAATTAGTGTTTAATTGTTTGTCATTAATAGTTACATCTTTACTATTCATAAATGTATAACTTCATGGACAATGAAAATTTCATTTGTCAGTTATCTTCAAAACACTGCTCATTTACACATGTTACAAGCCTCCAGGAAACAATTTTTTGAGGCCTTGCACAGTTACTTAACATCTGTGCACAGTAGATTTTTTTGTTTGTTTCTTGAGCATGTTGAGATAAAAATAAAACTGTAATTAGAAAAATATATGCAAAACCAGAAAAAAAATTGTATAGACATGTTTTTGAACTACCAAAACTTGAGAATTTAAGATGTTGTCAAAAAAATTACTCATATTTATATAAGTAAATTTTTGGAAAAGATTAAGAGATTATTCATAAACATGACTTGTATAAGTATTACCATGACTGACTGTAGGAGTGTAACTTACCAGAAAGTTAGAGTCAAGTTAAAAAATCAATTAAAGTTTGAGTTTGAGTTCGATTTATAGTTCCAGTTTGAGTTGAAATTTGACTTAAAGTTTTGAGTTATGCTTCGAATTCGAGTAAGAATTTGAGTTAGAGTAAGAGTTAGATTTGCTGTTAAATCTGAGTTTGAGTTGCATTTGGAGTTCACCTTTGAGTTAAATTTCAAGAAAGAATTCCAGTTATTAAGTATTTCATATTTCAGTACATTTCAAATGCAGATCCAGAAATTTCATACAGCTATAACACTTCTTCCAATTAAAAGCCCATCAAAGTTTTAGTAATAATTCAAGTTAGAGTACAGTTATATTTCGAGTTAGAAATAATTTTTGAGGTTCAAATGATGTTCGTTGGACACAAAACAAATACACTCACATACCAGGCACATATTTACATCCATGAACACTCATACTTTCCAGACACATTACCACAGTGGAATCAGCTTCAAGTGGTACTTGTTCATGCAACATCAGTTGATATAAGTTTCAGGAAACAGCTCACTCCTGCTGTTCTCTGCACTATTGTTTAATACCATAAATTAAAATTGTATATAGTTTTAATCACAAATTTGTTATTTTCATCATGTTCATCACACTAAATAATTATTTTCTGTATAAACTGGGGTAAACATTTTTAAAATAGACCAGGCATACAACAGTGTGTAATCTTCAGATGTGGATGGTATATTGTGTAACCAAAAGAAGGAGAAGAAGATAGAAGCAACAGTTTGAGCAGAATTCATTGCTAGATTTGATCACATATACACTCTATATTACATGTATTAACCATGTTAAACTTAAATTTATTGTTTTGGGGTTTGCTTGGCCATATAAACATACCATTTAGTGGAAACAAAAGATTCCACTGAGCCTGGTTCAAAACTCTCTTTAATTTCAAGTCATCAAGAGTGTTGTAGTGTGTATTCAGTGTTGAAGGTAGATGAGTAGGTGGAAATTCTCTGTCAAAATAAGTACGGACTGCTCTTGGTGACACTCCCTTCAATAACAAAGCTAATCGTACATAATTCTCTTCTTCTTCCAATAGGGGTGCCATCATTCTAATAATCTTTCTATTTACAATTGAAACCAGGTGTATACCAATCTTAATTTATGGTCCATGCAGTCCTGAAAAATAAAAAAAAATTCTACAAATGATATTTCAAAATAGCAAAACCTTAATCATCAACAGAGCAATTAGCTACATTTCCTTATTTAGAATATTGATTAGAGGGTTTTCGCTCCTGCTGTGTAAATGTACGAAGTAGAATGTGGTAATGTATATGTGTGCATCTATAATACTATAATAAGGAGGTCCAATTTGTTAGCCGGCATGACGCAAAAACGAAGAATCAAAGAATTCAACTTTATATATAACTAATATCATGAATATAGGACAATACTGTTGATTAAAAATTACACCATTCCTGGCCCTTTTGTTTTCCAAATAATTAGTATTACCAAAAGTTAACAAGTTATGGGTCGAATCCTATACCGATACCAATAGTATGTTTCACATGTAGTTTCCAGTTGTATGTATGTATGTTCTGTATATTCCTCCTGTATTGGGAGCACTACCAAGGGTTAGAATGTAAAGGCGGACATTAAACACACTGTACGGTACAGATTTAATGTGACCATTTGCCTACCCAGTTGTAGTAAGAAAATTAGGATGGGCCCAAACAGAAAGATCTTAAAAACAGAGAAAAATGTTTTTTGGTCGGGTTGTTGTCTGTTTGACACATTCCTCATTTCCATTCTCAATTATATTTTAAAACTGTTCACCTTATAATCAGCATGACTTTATCAGATGACAATACAAATACTAAAACTCCAGACTAAACATTAGCTATAGGCGTTATGGTATGTACTTTAATTCAGTCATATCGCGGGTGTGTTCTAGTATCATATATTTTACAGTCCTGCTTGGATTTAAGACAACTGTCTACTAGAGTCCAAATGACATGGATTTTCTTAACTATATGTCAACTGATACTGTATGAACAAAATCAAAACAGTGTTGTCAGTTAAGAGCTTAAATAGTCCCAAACGTGACAAAACAATTGAAACCAAAGAACAATCTACTATCCCACATTGCCCCAGATAGCAGATTACACTTTTTTTCATCTTACCACTTTTACTTAACATGCTAAAGGAGTGAACAAAAAACAAGTATATAATGTTTCAAATCAGCACGGAAGTAAAACATGTTGACTCACAATGATTTAGGAGGAAAACTGGATTGTCAACTCTTATTTCTAGTTATTCTGACTGAAAGAAACATGTCCATTCCACATTTTATAGCATGCCCTACATTCCTAAAACATTTCCAGGTTATGTAGGCAACATAACAAGATTCTTTAGGTGGTAGTAAACTATTATTTTTAAATATTTTGACAATACATGGACTATAATATATCTATATTAAGTTAAATGAAGTAGCTGTTTCTCATGTATGAATTAAGTTAAATTATGTCAGTTAGGGGTACTACTTGTACAAGTAATTTTTATTTACTTGAAGAAGTAATTATAATATACTTATATAAGTAAATTTGTAGGATACTTATACAATAGTATTTTATTTACTTGTATAAGTAAATTATGTTTTGGCCTAGTTACAATGTATGTCCCATTAGACATTCAGATTTTTTTACTTATACAAGTAAAAAAGTCATCCTATCTTCTTTTCTTGAATTCTTAGAACTTCTTTGCTCTAATAGAATTTTGAATTGTCTGTCCTTTGCAGATCTATGTCTTTACTATTCATTTAAGTGTAATTTCATGGACAATGAAAATCTCATTTGTCTTTTATCTTTAGAACACTGCTCATTTACAAGCCCCCAAGGAGCAATTTTTGAAGGCCTTGCGCAAATACTTAAGATCTTTGCTCAATCAGTTTCTTTGTTGAATTAATGAGATTACACCCCAGTCCTATTGTTATACTTCATAGTTTCTATTTCTGAAACAAGTGTAAATTGAATAGATCTATTGTTACGAATAACAATGGATTTTGACCACAGGCTGTGACGAGCGGGGTTTCTGGAAACCCCTGCTTCTACATCCCACAAACAAAATCCATTGTTATTCGTAACAATAGAAATTGATTAAATAGCATGAACATAAGAAATTACTAATAGTGTTCTGTACAAATTGTTTCATGATATTAAAAAAACATATTTTAGGAAATTCCAATAAATATCTATAGTATGGAATACAAAAATAATCCTTTAAATACTCTTTTGCTTGAAGGTAATTTTTTTTTATCCCAGTCATATGTCTCTATTCTAAAGCATTGATCTTTAAAAAAAAATGGGGATTCTAACTCCAGCCCCCCCCCCCCCCCCCCCCGTTACCCAGTGGCCGATCCGGGGTTGGGGTTCCGCGGGTTGGACCCGACTTTTATTTAAAAAATTCGTAAGGGTTCCGCGGAACCCAGTGTCTCGCCTACTTTTGCTGTTAATCGCAGGCTCAACAAAAATGAGGAAAAAAATTAATAAAAATATTCCTCTCTATACTATCTTTTGATTGTAAGTAGCTTCTGTCCAAGTTTGATAAAAATCCAGGATAGTTTATGAATCTAATAAATGTTTTAAAAACTTAAACTGCAGACTGTATGTAATGTTAACTGGAAGAAAAACTAAGTCCATTTATAAGTAAAATACGGAAAAAAATGGAACAAAATTTCCATGTAGATACTAGCTTTTAATCATAAACAAGCTTCTGTCCAAGTTTGGTACAAATCCAGGATAGTTTAAGAAAGTTGTTAAAATTTTAAAAACTTTAACCACAGAGTGAATGTAATGTTAACTGGCAGAAAAACTAAGTCCATTTATAAGTAAAATACGGAAAAAATAGAATTTTTATTATACAAAATTTCCTTCTGGACACTATCTTATGATCATAAACAAGCTTCTTTCCAAGTTTGGTAGAAATCCAGGATAGTTTAAGAAAGTTATTAAAATTTCAAAAACTTTAACCACAGAGTGAATGTAATGTTTCCTGGCAGAAAAACTAAGTCCATTTATAAGTAAAATACGGAAAAAACGGATTTTTTTTTTTACAAAATTTACTTTTGAATATTATCTTATGATCATAAACAAGCTTCTGTCCAAGTTTGGTAGAAATCCAGAATAGTTTAAGAAAGTTATTAAAATTTCAAAAACTTTAACCACAGAGTGAATATTTGTGGACGCCGCCGACGACGACGACGACGACGACGCCGACGGAATGTAGGATCGCTATGTCTCGCTTTTTCGACAAAAGTCGAAGGCTCGACAAAAATCAATGCATTTGAATGGTTGGACCCCCCTTTTTTTCTCTTGAGTTGGGAACCCCCGGGATCAGCCCCTGATTTTGTTTTTGATAAAATCGTAAGATATAAAATACAGTTATGATTACCTTTATCAAGCTGATACAGGTAAGTACTTTGGGTTATAATATTGCCTTTATCTTTAGTCTCTTCTACCAAATCCAACCCTTGCCACAAAATGCCGTCCGTGTTATACCCGTCCATATTGACAACTGTATAACAGGAGCATGATGTATTTTTTGTTTGTAATAAGAATACACGAAACAGTCAACCTTGACCTGCTGATCCATATAAGCACATGGATTTGACGGGAATATGCAAATCAACTTTGACATTTGTAAAATATACTCACTTGTCAAAGTTTGAACGAAGATAACCAAAGAAATGTTACTAGTGGGGTTTCATGTAATAAAAACAATATTTTTATAAATCATGGTTTGATATTGTCAATATTTATACTATCGATTTTTTTTTTCATTTAATAATCAATGTTAACAAATATAGGGTTTAGAATGGGGTGTAAGCTAGTTATACACCTCGGGATACGGCGTGTCTGGATAAGAAACCCCTCCGGCCTCCGGCCGACGGGGTTTCTTATCCAGACACACCTTTCCCTCGGTGTATAACTATTACTGAAACATTGAACTCTTATCAAAAATTATGAGCTAACCTGAGAAAAATTGTTAAAGGCATGATTTTAAATCTCAAAACTTGAGAATTTTTGTGGGATTGTAAAAAAAATTTACTTATACAAGTAAATTTTTTAGAAAATTAAGGGGAGATTATTCAAACAATATAATTAACTTGTATAAGTATATTTTATTTACTTCTTCAAGTAAATAAAGGTTACTTGTACAAGTAGTACATGTACCCCTGACTGTATGTCCCCTTACATAATCAATTTAATTACCTTTTTGAGCTTTTTCAGGGTCAGAAAATTAAAACAATTCATGACCTTTGCTAAGAAAATAAACTATCGAATCAATCTGACATACAATCGTAATGACATTCTTTGTCCCAAAAAATGATCTCATCTATGTAAAGAAACCCTTAATGCTAACTCTATTTCTGCAAAATATGGGGCTCATTGAATAAGTAAAGACCCTTAACCACTTACTTGTCCACAAAAAGCTCATGCTGGTGTCATGTTACCACAGAACATCAAATTAAACCCAAAGAAATCTAATATAACTGTACTTGTGTGAAGAAAAAATAAACAGTTGCGCCATGAGCGCATGATACGCCCGTCACATTTTTCAAGGAATAAAGATCAATAAAGTTTAATTAATTCTCAATGTCATATTAGAAATTTATGAAAATCAAAAGGGAGCTTACATCAATAGATATAAACAATTCACCAAAGTTTCACGAGAATTGCTGACATCATTTTTGAGTTAATGTATGAAAACTGGAAAATCCCCCTTTTTTAATGAATAAAACCCCATATATGTAACTCAGAAATGTAAAATATAAAATTTATAAAATTCTAAAGGGAGCTAATACATCAATAGATATAAACAATTCACCAAAGTTTCATAAGAACTGCTGAAAGCATTTTTGAGTTTTTGTCCGAAAACTGGAAAATCCCCCTTTTTTTATGAATAAAACCCTGTAACTCGGAAACATAAAATATAAAATTTAAAAAAATTTAAAGGGAGCTCATGTCAATAGATATTAACAATTCACCACAATTTCTTGCAAGTTGGTGAAAGCATTCTTGAGATATTGTCTGAAAACTGGAAAATCCCCCTTATTTTAATGAATAAAACCCCATAACTCGGAAACGTAAAATCTAAAATTTATAAAAACGAAAGGGAGCTCACGTCAATAGATATAAACAATTCACCAAAGTTTTATGCAAATTGGTTAAAGCGTTCTTGAGTTAATGTCCGACATGTTGACGCCGGACAGACAGACTGACAAGGGTATACCATAATACGTCCCATAAATGGGCGTGTAAAATGGGGAATGTGTCCATGGGACACAGACATGACAGATGATGCCCCCCTTTGCATAGAACGTTATAAAGGGACATAACTCAAGAACAGTAAAAATGACGCCACCCAAATTCGAACTCGATCTGAGTTTTGTGGTAATTAGCAGTGTGTATAACTTTCATAACATTTGGTTGAGGCAAACTTTAGTAAGAGAACGGAAACAAAGAATTCAGCAATCTTTCCATTTACAAAGTCCATAACTCTAGAACAGTAAAAGTGACGGCACTCAAATTCAAACTTGATCTGTGTTAAGTGGTAATTAGCATTGAATACATGGAATATAAGTTACATTTAGTTGAGGCAAACTATTTAAAGTTAGAGAACAGAAACCAATTTGTGAAGTATGTACGTTTGAACAGACAAGGGTAAAATTAAACTCAATGCCCCTTCTGCTGCATCAAATTACGAGAGACTTCGCGGCCTTGACACTTAAGTATGCAAATTTTTATGCTAATTTCGGCCTTGAACCTTCCTAACCAAACATGATAAAAATCGGAACACACTCTGCCATTCAGCTAATTTGCATCGTATATGAACGAGGTGTTAGATTTTGTATTTAAATTGACCCAGGGTCATTTGCATAAATCAGCTCCCATAATGCACTGTGCCTTACTTTTTCTCGTTGGTCATGTGACAATCTTTGAAAATGAAAGTTAAAATGCCTGAATCGATGGGTCACTGTGATAACTGTCCAAATATGAGAAAATAATGGGTGACAGGTAGATGAAACTTACATAAATGAAGAGATAAATGAAAAATGAACAAATTGAGGCCCGATTTATATTGATCCAAGGCCGTCAGTTGGCTCCAGAAGCAATGAAGTGCTCAGCGCATCCATTTTGGATGGGCAAATATCCACTTTTTGATGTGGGACGAGCTCGAGATCTGAAGTCCCACAGCCCCAGCTTGTCTGGCAAAACAGCAGTTGGACGTCAGAACATCTCGGACTACAAATGTAGACCGTTTAAAGACAAAGGTAGGATATTATCTACTAATGATCACGTTTCATAATCATTATGTCAAGACAACATATCTATCATATGAAAAAATGTATATGAACGAAAATAAATTGCATATGAATAATATCTAATAAAATGCTTCGCTGAGCGCAGCCTGATACGACCGCAGAGGTCGAACCCTGAACAGTTGGGGCAAATTTGGACACAATATTCAAGCTTGATACTGTCTGAATTTGGATTGTGATCAAATTTTTGACATAATATAGGTTTCGGACACAAAATAAATGTGGTCAAAGATCTTAAAATTCTATTGAAATTTGAAAAATTTTGAAGAAAAAAAAAATGAACCCCTTAAAAAATTGGAACTTTTTGACCCCCCCCCCCCCTTTGGAGCAATTACCCCCAAACTCAATCCCAGCCTTCCCTTTGTAGTATGGAACCTTGAGGGGGGGGTAGGACCCTTATCGGGACTCCGGGATCAGGTGTTTTTAAGCTTGGGATTTCGGGATTGATCCTTTCGGGATCCGGGAATTCTTTTTTTGAATTTCGGGATGTCGGGATTTAAATTTTTTTTTAAATTCGGGACCTCCGGATTCTATGTTTTTAAGCCCGGGATTTCGGGATAAGGACCCCCCCCCCCCCCCTCAACCTTGTAGTACAATTTAAGAGAGATCCATACACTTAAACATAAGTTTTTGTCTGGAAACTAGAAAAATGCTTGTTTTTGGCTCCTTTTTTTTGGCCCCTGATTCCTGCATGTTTGGGGCAAATACCCCCAACCTCAATCCCAGCCTTCCCTTTGAGATATGGAACCATGTGGTACAATGTCAGAGAGATTCATACACTTACAAACAAGTTATTGTCCAGAAACTACAAAAATGCTCGTTTTTGGCCCCTTATTCCTTATCTGTTGGTACCATTACCCTCAAAATCAATCCCAACCTTCCATTTGTGGTATTGAACCTTCTTGTAAAATTTCATAGAGATACATTCACTTAAAATTAAAGTTATTGTCCGGAAACCAAATGTGTCTTCGGACGACGACGACGACGACGAAGACGACGACATCATAGCATTATACGAACCCAAAAAAAAATTTTCGATCGTATAAATATTTAGTACTATTTGATAGGACGAGTTGGCGAAGGTACGAGTTGACATCGATCCGAGGACGAAGACATGTGAAATCGAAAGTAGACTTAATTTTTACTGTGTTTTGTGTTTTTTGTATACCTTATCATCTGTTTCAGTCTTGTTTAATCAAATTTATTTAACCGCTGCAGCTGCAAATCTTTACTTTGACTGTACACAATTTGTTAAAATTCTCCCTCACACATTGACAAGTTGATAACCATGTTAACAAACAACAAACTAACCCGAATAATCCAGTCGTTATATTACGCTCCCTAACGATCACTACATTAACGCCTGAATGCATACCCAATCATAGGTTGGTTCCCTCCGTAAAATATCCAGTATTCCTTTAGAACGATTTGCACCATAATCCCCAAAATCAATCCCAACCTTCCTTTTGAGGTATGGAACCTTGTGGTACAATTTGATAGAGATCCACAATCTTATACCAAAGTTATTGTCCTGAAACAAGAACAAGAGGCTCTCCAGAGCCTGTGTCGCTTACCTGTATCTTTTGTGGTTTTGGAAATCATGTAAAATAAGGTTTAAATCATGATAAATAGTATAAGATACCCTAATAATGATTGCGGCCAAGTTTGGTTTAATTCTGCCAAGCAGTTAAATTAAAAGCAGGTCATCCCACTAGTAACTAGACTTACAATAGTTACTGAAGACCCCTTATCATTTTTTAAAGTAGTTTTCAAGTTGTGACCATTTGAAATTTTTTTTTTTTTTACAATTTTCCCTTAGACTTCTATAGTAAATCCCTTTGTTCTATTTTTAGCCATGGCGGCCATGTTGGTTGGATGACAGGATCATCGGATACATTTTTTAATCAAGATACCCTATTGAAAATTGTGGCTCAGTTTAACTCTATTTGTCCCAGTAAATTCAGTAGAGAAGATTTTTGTAAAAGATTAAAAAAAATGTACGCAAAAAATTGTTAAAAATTTGACTATAAAGGGCAATAACTCCTTAAGGGGTCAATTGAAAATTTTGGTCATATTGACTTATTTGTAGATCGTACTTTGCTGAACATTATTGCTGTTTACAGTTTATCTCTATCTATAATAATATTTAAGATAATAACCAAAAACTGCAAAATTTCCTTAAAATTACCAATATTCAGAGGCAGCAACCCAACGGGTTGTCTGATTCGTCTAAAAATTTCAGGGCAGAAAGATCATAACCTGCTGATCATTTTTATCCATGTCAGATTTGCTCTAAATGCTTCAGTTTCAGAGATATAAGCGAAAGACTGCATTTTACCAATATGTTCTATTTTTAGCCATGTCTGCCATCTTGGTTGGCAGGCGGGGTCATCGAACACATTTTTTAAACTAGATACCCTAATGATGATGGTGGCCAAGTTTGGTTAAATTTTGCCCAATAGTTTCAGAGAAGAAGATTTTTGTAAACAACAACGGACGCCAAGTGATGAGAAAAGCTCACTTGGCCCTTCGAGCCAGGTGAGCTAAAATGCTTGTTTTTGACAGAGGGACAACGACAACAACATAATTTGCAGTTGTATAAAAACTAAAAAATTTCAAGCAGTCAAGGACAATGGACACATAAAAAACAGATTGATTGATGATTGTTGGTTCCTTAACGTCCAGTGGCAAATATTTCATGCATATACAGGACGACATGAAAGACAGAAACTTCGTAACATAAAGTATTTGTGTATAATGTATGAAGCATCAAAGTCATCTACCCACAGAATATAAAGCTAAATGCAAATAGTTTCAGCAGTTACTGGATTGCAATCCCTTCGACTCGCATTCGCAGGCGAGAAAAAACTAGAGGCTCTCAAGAGCCTGTGTCGCTTACCTGTATTTACTGATGCTTTGGAAATCATGTAAAATAAGGTTAAAATCATAATTAATAGTATTAGATATTAGATATTATAATGATATCTAAGATAATAACCAAAAACTGCAAAATTTTTGTAAAATTACTAACTCAGGGGCAGCAACCCAACAACGGGTTGTCAGATTCATCTGAAAATTTCAGGGCAGATAAATCTAAATCTGATGAACATTTTTGCCACCTGTCAGATTTGCTCTAAATGCTTTAGTTTCAGAGATATAAACCAAAAAACTGAATTTTACCCCTATGTTCTATTTTTAACCAAGTCGGCCATGATGGTTGGAAGGTTACGACAGACGCCAAGTGATGAGAAAAGTTCACTTGGCCCTTCGGGCCAGGTGAGCTAAAAATAAGTCTTTATGGTAAATTTAACCCCAAATTATCACAGAAATCAATATTTAACACTGGGAACCAATTTTGAAAAGCATATCATAACTCGTAAAATTTGTGATTTTTTTACAAATACCAAGTTTTCTACCACTTTTTCCCAAATTTTACATAAAACACAAGGGACCTTCCTTTTATATTTATTTCCATTTAGCACATTTATTTTTGAAATTAGTTGAGACAATCTTGACTTATTGTATGACATAGAAGTATTGACAGACAGACAAACAGAGAGACTACTGTATTGGGCTCATGTCAACTACTGGGCCCTGATAATCAAAATTTATTGTCACAATAGATATGCAATCAATTTATGACAAAATAAGTTGTAAAGTAGAGGCAATAATGTCTTTTTGGGCAGCAATAAACTCAGTAAATAGATATGAAAATTTAATTCTCAAATTCATCATTTTTTAGAAAAAATAACATATTTGATCCCAGTGTTACAGTTCACATTTTGACAAAATCCAGCTATATATCTGCAAATAACAATTGCACAAATTCTGACACCTCAAGTTGTATTGTCTAACTTCATGTTACTTCTTTTTGTTAATTACTTGACATCTCTCATTACATCTTGGTAGTTAAACCATCAATTCACTAGTTTATACATGTTCCTGAAAGAAAAAGCACATATTATTGTATAAGTAAATGTCTTAATGCTGACTTGTGAATCATGATGCAAGTTTCATCATTTGTCAGAGCTAAAATTGCATATTTCATAGTATTTTCTGACTTGTGAATATACAAGTTTTATCCACTTGGAGTACATTTGGCAGAGCTTAATGTAAAATTAAATGTTAATAAACTGCTTCGCCGAGCGCAGCTGGATACGACCGCAGAGGTCCAACCCTGAACAGTTGGGGCAAAAATGGACACAGTATTCAAGCTTGATACAGGTCTGAATGTGGATTGTAATTAAATATTTGACACATTATAGGTTTCTGACACAGAATAAATGTAGTCAAAGAACTTGAAATTGGTTGTATGATTTGAATATATATTCAATTGAAGATTTATTGCTGTTGTGCAATACACTATTCTGTTGCGCAATACTTAGTAAATCTGTTTTCAGACTATATACAAAGAATTAGCAAAATAAATTGTGACCCCCAATTTTTTTCTTTGGAAAATTGACAATTTCTTAAATCTTGAGGGGAAAAAAATTGAACCCCCAAAAAAATTTTTTTTTACCCCCCCCCCCCCCCCCCCCAAGAAATTTTCTTTTTGTAAAATGTGGTACAAATTAAGAGACATCCATACACTAAAACACAAGTTATTGTCTGAAAACTAGAAAAATGCTTGTTTTAGACCCTTTTTGGCCCCGAATTCCTGAACGGTTTGGGCAGTTACCCCCAAAGTGAATCCCAACCTTCTACTTGTGGTATTGAACCTTTTGGTACAATTTCAGAGCAATCAAAATACTTATACACAAGTTATTGTCCTCAAACTAGAAAAATGCTTGTTTTGGCCCCTATTTCCTTAACAGTTGGGACCATCACCCCAAAAACAATCTCAACCTTCCTTTTGTGGTATTGAACCTTTTGTTTATATTTCATAGAGATCCATACACTTAAACTAAAGTTATTGTCTGGAATCTAAATGTATGATTTGAATTTATCTTTGAAGTTATTGGATACTACACATGTAGTGTATCCTATGGATATCTGTTGAAGATTTTTGTCATTGGATTGCTGTCTCATTGGCATATACCCACATCTCTTTTTATTCATACTATGATACATACATGTATAAAAAAATTTGTATTACATGTAGTACAATATGTAGGAAGTGTAACTGAACCTCAAAATTTTCAAAACATGATGACATGTAACATAAATGCATTTCTGTTCATAAATATAATAAATCTACTATGAAATAATTACTTTATATATATATATATACATGATCTATATTTATATATATACATTGTATATATATTAGTCAGGAGAATTACTGAAATGAGTGATCTTAAATCACTTATTCAAGTACATTTTTAACATTTTGTCCAGAAATGTTGGAAGTAAGAGTTGTCTTTCTTTAATAATCACCTATTTAAGTATTATAAATAAATAACTAGACTAAGCATGCTAAGTGATTTAATTTTGTTGTAGCTTTAAATATATAATACTAATGATCCAGGGACTAATTATGTTGCTAAAATTATCAGAACCAACATCTGTGTTCATAAGATGACTGGCTATGTCAGGTGATGACCCTGTACTGAATCTAGGATGACATGAAACTCACTTGTTTAAGTGGAAACCTCTAGACTATTTTCTTCCAAAAAAATCACTTCTTTAAGTATTATCATTTTGATTACCCCCACTAATTTCAACACCCATGAACAGTGAAATTTTAGATCGAGAACAATAAAATTTTATTACAATTATACATGTAATCTCTAAAACCTTGAATTTTACAGGAAAAATACTCCCACTGGCACTGCTTGGAAAAATCTGTTAAGAATTTGATATTTCATTATGTTAAATTATAAGCCTTCATTATAACTTATAAATATAGAATTTACAGCTGAATGATTGCATCAAAGGCATAAACCTTGCTACTAAAACATGCAAAAGGTTCATTTTTTTTCAATTTTACAAATAATAAGATATAATCTAAACTTGTATGTTTAAAATTTTGGTAAAACTACAAAATCAAAGAATTTTTAATTTGCTACTTAAATGAGTGATTTATAAATAACCTATTTCAATAATTCCCCTGACTGTATATATATTATAGACTTTATAGTAACAATGTTGCAATTTTTTATGATTAAACTGATTCAGAACATGTTAATGAACCATTGGCTGTTGCCTGTAGTCCAAATAAAAAATTCAATAAAAAAAATCCCATACACTAATTAAGATACAAATATACATGTACATAAATTTTGAAAATTACTATCAAAAGTGTAAACACATATATATATAATATCCCATTTAGTTTTAAATAAAATTACCTCAGGAAATAGTTTCTGGTGTTTTCTCTCATTATAAGGTATACAATGTAGATCTAGCTGGAATGTCAGACCTTTTTAATAAGAACCGGTCCTAATGTTCTAGTGAGGAACCTTGGCCCTCTCACGTCAAATACTGGTAGACAATTTCTGAAAGACAATTCAACAATAAACATTGATTTCAGAAAGTTCAGATAAGGCTTATTAAAAGTGAGGTAACTAAATAGCTCTTTAATCCAAACAAATTTTAGATCTAAGGAAGTTAAATACATGAAATATCAACAGTAACAATTTTCAGACCTGCCAACCCAAGATCTGATATCAATACACATCTTGAACCAATTTTATTCAATGGCTTACAGGAACATAAGATACTGATTAAATTTAAAACACTTTCAAATTTCTTATCAACTGCTTTAACTTGATAAATCACATTTCCCACATTAATGAATAAAAGAAAATTTAATATAAGTTTGGATTTACAAAAGGAACTACATGTATATATGCAAGTGTATATCTAAAGTAATGAAGTTATTCGCCCAACCTTTTCTTAATATAAGGACAAATAACATATCAAAAGTTGGCAGTTGAAGATTAAAATGGTGTATAAAGTTTCTGCAAGTCATAGAAACACATCATAATATACAAAATGTATCATTCATTTGACATGATTACTGTGATATCCAGTGGCAAGTGTTTCATAAATATTCAGTAAACAAATTTCAAATAATTCTTATAGTTAGGCATGTATGGGTTTTGCTCATTGTTGAAGGCTGTACAGTGACATATAGCTGTTAATTTCTGTGTCATTTGGTTTCTTGTGGAGATTTGTCTCAATGGAAATCATACCACATCTTCTGTTGTTTTACAAAAATAAAAGGCCAGATATTTAACTGGCACAGGAAAATGTTTACATGTTCCATAGGGGTACATATTTTGCCTTGCAAAAGTCTGTGCTTAAGCCACTAGCCCAATATCCGAGTCTGGTAAAAATTGATAAAAATTTAGTGAAATTATTTTTAGGGTCTTGCATGTATTCATGAAGGAAAAATGTAAAAATTTCTTGAACAGACTGCAATGGGCATTCAGCCTGAGAACCCTAAATAAAACTGTTCAATGGGTATATTAACTTGCTGCAATACTTTTTTCCAAACATATGGAATATATCGTCCCAACTTCCACTTGATGTAGCTGTGCATGCCTCTATTCAGTATTCAGATGACACTTATCCCCCCCTTTTTTTTTGGGGGGGGGGGGGGGGATTGTTCCTACCGTAACATAGAGAAACTGGGACCAAGATACACCAAGTGTTGTGGACGTGTTATGAGGATCACTGCCTCAAAATGCTATTTTGTACGACTTTTTAAGCCCCCCTGGCATTAGTTAGTGGCAAGGGAGTTTCAGTTCCCCCCGAGTTTCACATCATAAAAACACAACTTGTACAAACCTATCTTCGGTAAATAGAGTAAATTACTTTACTTTTATCTTCAATACCGACAACAAACGAGCAGCATGTTTATTGTTCACTTTAACAGCTTGCTAAGTTGCTTTTTCAATTGTTTTCGCTAGAGTTGTGAGTTTGACACAAAAACAAGGGCCCAGCGGCCACTTCAAAAGCCTGCCCATTTGTCGGCGATTAAGTGTCGTCCATAAAATTTATGCCACAAGAGTCGGGCGAGTTTCGGTTATCTAACTTTCAATTTGGGCAACTTGAAATTACTCTACTCACCTGTACCGTGGCTTTCTGTGACACACTACCATCTTCGAAGCGGCGTAGAGGAACAACAATGCCTAACTGCGCATGCTCGAGATCGTTCATTTCAAAAAGTAAAATTAGCCCATACCGGACGGTATTGTCAAGAATTTCAATAACGGCCGGGTACCAGTCTAACCCA